GTCCTTGATAACGCATTGGCAAACATCCAAGCAAAAAGATATGCAGGTACTGCTGATGAACCGAATCGAGATTGCTCGGATTCCATAATTGGAACATGAGAAAATGTTTCCAAGAACTAAACCAGTCTATGCAAATGGCAGTACAACTTTTGTGATTCCCAACTTTGTCACAAATAGCACAGCTGATCTTCCATTTCGCAGCTAATCACAATGTTGTACTCTCCACATCATTATTGGTGTGATGACGAATAATGACATGTATAATTGCTTAACATATATTATTGAAAATAGCTTATTTTGCCAGATTTCTTAAGATGAAATATTTTGCGAGAGAATTGCTGTGCGTCATACTGGTTTACTCGGATCCTTTCAAATTGTGTTCACACATTCTATTGGTTCACAGGCCAACCAATCAGATCAGGCGTTTGCTCGGACTGAGGAGGAAGTACGATGATTGGTCGGTGAAGTGCCTAACTATGTCCGTTGGAGGTTTAGGTTTACACAACTTATTGCTCTTCTCTCGCATCCTACACGTTCGAATACGAATGAATTCTTCTCGTAACTATTCCGAATCTTACAAAAATCTTCCTCTTCCTTACCTCAACGCTAAGCTCAAATTAGCAATCTTGGATCACATTGATAAATTTCTCCACTTAGCACACATGTCAAATCAACTAATCAAAGGAACCGTAAGGATTGATCTTGATGGACTGAACACGCCAATTACATTGACGTTCGGTGATACTTTCATGTCGGAGGTGGCGGCTCAATTAGGTACAATATCCACTTATGACCAATTGCTGAATGAGGAGCATAGTGCGCATTCTCAATCGACTTCGACCACTTCGATGAATGAGCTTCCTCTGGATCTCTCAATGAAAGCATCTGCTCTTCAGTCCCAAAAAGAAACTCCGGTGAAGACCGACAGTGATCCTGTTCATGAGTTCCCGAGTTCAAAGTCACTTTTCGATCGCATTTCCGCGTTGCTACAACCATTTCCATGTACATTACCTCTTCCCACTGCGTCCACTTCCATTCCAGTGGAATCTCCTTCTACCGCTCCTACTCCAAAGAGGCGACGAGTTGAAGGAACTTCACATCGAAGGGCACCCAAAGGTCGAGAGTACAGATGTAATCAGTGTGACTACATTTGTGACAATCTTTCCAATCTCAATCGTCACACTCAAGAGACTCATGGCGGCTACCGCTGTCACTTGTGCAAAACATCGTTTAGTCATCGGCCTAATCTAGAACGCCACGCTCTTGCACATGTTGGTTTCAAGCCATATGAGTGCATTTTATGTGGAACAGCCAACTCCCGATGGGATCACTTAAAGAGCCATGTGCAGAGAATGCATCCCTCCACTCCTGTTGAGGAGGCTATTCGCGTCAAATTGAGGGCCTCTCAAAGTCTCCATTACCTCCAACAAATGAAAGAAAGAAGCGACCCCACGAATACTGCTAATCTCGTTGAGAAAACCAACAGTGAACCATGCGAAATGGGCAATATCAATGCTTCTGGAAGTGGAGAATTGAAAACCACGGGAATCACCACCAATGTCACCGAGTCTCCGTCTACGACTTCCACGGATTTCATTTCGGTTGAATCAACTGCTCCAATTGTATATGAGTGCACTGATCCCGGATCAAACCATTGACACTTGTGTTCTTTTTCTATGTGATAAACTGCACCTCGTAATAATTGTGCTATTAAAGACTCGTTTCGGCATTTTCATGTTCTTATTCAATTTAATGGTGGTTGGGTCTGTGCGTGAGTGAGTGGGTGGGCAGGTGGGTGGGTGGGTGGTTGGGATTTCAGATAAGGGGAATTGTCTTATAGCACAAACGCGTAAGAGGTGACTTGCCTCGACTTGTGTTGAGTTGAGTTGCGTTGAGTTTGCTATGGAAAGTGCAGGTTGGAGGGGAGGGGAATGAGGGTTGTTACTAGGAACGCCAATGTGTCCACTCAAGTAGATAGGTATTTGGTGGTATTTTCAAAATATTTCTGATTGAAAAGCAGGGACGTGAAAAATAGGCTTCGAATGAGAGCGATTTATGAATAACTGCAACATTTCAATATCAAGATTGGTAATGATCGAGGGTGAGAAATTATGGGCTCAATTAAAATAAGTTTGATGATGTGGATATGGTAATCATAAAAGGGTAAAGTGCATTAATAAGTCTTGAAATTATAGTTGCTGGTCACCTTAAGCTGATGAAGAGAATATTGAAGAGCACATTTCTAATAATTTGCAATAGCTTCGTTGCAGTGGAATTCTCTCCCACAGGGGATAAATTGTGTGGAAGTGAACGTAGTTCTCAAAGTGCTCTAACTTGGAGGACCCTCCTGAGATACACAGATTCTCCTAGATAGTCAATTTGGAGAGACATTACTCCTCTACCAACAGATTTAATTTTTGTATCAAAAGGTATCACACAACCGAGTGGTAGTTAGCGTCTTACGAAGAACTAACCTCTTCCAATCATTTCCTCTCTTCCCATTATGAGCACTTCTTCCAAGAAAGTGAATCACCCACCACGATCATTGTCTGTCCTATTGCTACAATTGAAGTTAGATCGAAGTCTCAGTACTTCAATGATTGAATTTTATTCAACATTACCTATCTTTGATTGTTAATGATTCCATTTTTATTCATTTATTATAAAAATATATTGGAAGCGGTTTAGTGTGCGGCGATTTATGTGTAATAGTAGGAAAACACACTGCAATATCTTTGGTAATTCCTTGGAAGAGAGTCCAAATCGTCTGAATTATTAATTAGTTTAAGGTGCTAATCTGAAATGTTTAACGTTTAAAAGGTTAAAAGGCTACAACAGCTTAGAAACAACATGGGAACATATAGTAATAAAAGCACAATATACGAATTGAATAAAGTTTAACATTTTTAAATTAATTTGGCCTCATAGGGGTGAACTCGGGAGAAGATCACTCCCATAATCTAAAGAAATAATTAAAAATTTATTATCCCAGAAGAACAGAGGAGCCATATTTGAACTTATAGCCATAAAACTCTGTTTACAAGCTCAACACGTATTCGCATTTCTTAATAAACATTTGACCTTGTAAGTGCAAGCCGTACTAAGGATATGTAGACCGATTTCAATAATTTATTCACACAGCAAAGGAACAAGGATGGGGAAAGAATTGGAGCAAATTGCTCTCCACCAAAATTGGGCATCAAAATTAAATTAAATGACCTTTTTCAAATTATTCCACCTGATAAGTGCACATCTGAGTGAAGATTACTATCTCAATTATAAGAAATAATTATAAACTTCTTATTCTAGAAATGTTAATATCCCAATTTGCACTTACCTCCACGTGGTGCACCCTGGGCAACCTATACTCATACGGCAAAAGGGTCTATTTACCGGCAATTGACTTCTGACTTCAAACTACCATGGCCCCACTGTATGTCATGCTCGACCCCTTCCACAGTACTCATCTTACATTTTTTCCGCCGTCGTGTCAGTCTGTCTGTCTCTTTCATATCTGTAAATCATTATTCTGTCCCCCACCGCTCGACTTTTTGTCACTTCGATATTCCTCCTCTCTGTGAAGCCCGAAGTCAGCTAAAGGGCTAATGATAACTATCCAAACGCCTGCCATTCGATATAAATAAATTAACTTATTGCCATGAAAATCCGTATACAAGCTCAACCAATGTTTGTATTTCTTAAAAGTCATTGACCTTATAAGTCCAAACCGCAATAGGGATCTGTGATTCCATTTCAATTGCTAATCAAAACACCCAAGGAACAATTAAGAAAAGCAGTACTCTGACCGCAAAATTCTCGAAGACGTAAATCGAGACGAGATGAGATGAGATGAGA